AGTATTTTACAGTTCTCAAAAGGAAAATTCTCATAGGAATTGGAGACTACTGAGAATTAAGAATTTAAAAAAATCCCAGAACAAATTAACCAGTAACGACTGTTCATTAGACTGATGTGAAAGATTGTGGGGTCTCGTAAGACACTCTGATTAATGTCTGATTTCAGTTAACGAAACAGAGATCATGAGAAGTACCAAACACAGGTAAGCTGATACACATGTAGGGCATCTCTCTCTATACAGAGAAATGGCCAGAAGGAAAAGGATTTATTACATATTACTCGATGGCACCTGACAACAACAACTCAAATCTTGTAAAAGACAGAAAACTACGGGGTAACAAGCAGGTAAAAAATGTCCTAGGAAAGTCAGATTTTTCATGTTTTCTTTAAAGGTTCATGTGGGAAGGGTAATTCTCAAGCAAAGTAGGCAGTTGATTTTTCACACTGACACCTTTTTTTTTTAGTGCAAATGTGAACTATCTAATCATCGTCAGCTAACAAATAAAGGCCAGATCTGGTCTAGTAGATTCCAGCAGGAAGAAAACAACCTCTGCTTCATTCAGTCCTCCCCTTGGCAGAAGGATTATGAGCACTCACAGGCTCAAGACTGAAGGGGCCATTCCTTCTTAGGCCCAGAGGGGACCACCCCCCCAACCCCCCCAACCCCAAGAACCATAGAAGAGGCACCATGCTCTCACACCCAGCATTATTAGTCTGAAATAGACTAGCTAGCTAATTTTGAAGGTTGGAGAGAACACATCACAATCACAGACTATTCACCTAGACATGCTTTCTCTTCTGGCTCTAGTGTGTGTGTGTGTGTGTGGGGGGGTGCACAGAGTCTCATTGATGCTAAGTCATGTTTCCAGTGCTATCTTCAGTAGTAGGGGGAATCTGATGTTATAATATCACCAGGCCTTTCTTCTGCAGTACCTCTGAGTGGGTTTGAACCATCCACCTTCCAGTTAGTAGTCACCCAGGGACTCCTTAATATCAGATACAACACAGACGAACCATTTTTCTACAGATAAGTTCTGATTTTTCCAAGCTCAGTCACGGGGGCAGATATAACCAATGCCTCCCTAGTAACGAATTATCCTATAAATATGTTCATCTTTGTACACACATCCCTAGGATATGTATATAGAGTGGTTTTAACTCAGGGAGGTGGGCTGTCCCTTCCCAGCTCCATCCCCTTATTCAGTCCCTTCACTGCCTGCTACAGCAGGTAGATGGAAGAGGCTGAGGGTAGATGTGGTTTCTGGAACAAAGGTGTTGTAGTCTAATTCTTGTTTAGATTGGTTCAGCTCATAAACCCAAGACGTACGCAGGTGTGGTGCGGAGTTATTTCTGGCCACCTAAGCTAATCAGCGGAGATGATGGAAAAGTGTCAGTCATCAAATGGAAGTCCTCAAGTTGGAACCCTAATTTGACAGAAAAACAACAGCAGTGAATATTGATGTTGGCTTCTAGTTGGACAATCGGCTCTCTAAACTGTTTCTGCAAAGAAAAGATCAACAGCAACTTATACTCTGGGTCATAGAAAAACCACATTCAAATGTCACGTCTCTGTTTCTTGTGAGATGCCCAGAATTTTCCAGGCGGCAAACCCAACCCCTCAAGTCTTTGCAGTCCTCTCTTGTGTAGCATTAACAGCTTCATGTTGAGAAAACAGGGAAAACACATCAGGAGTCGGCCTGCAGTCTTGTCTTGTGGTTGCAGCTTGCAGCTGGTCTGGCTCAGAAGCAACTGGGTCTAAGGGTTCATTAAAATGCTGTCCGTCTGGTTCAGACTGTCCTTCCCAGACTCCGGGCCAGACCAGGCTCAGTCTGTAAGCCTTTGCAGAGGTGGGTCCTTCAGGCTCCGTGTACACAGGTCTCCTGTGAAATGCACTAAGTCCTCAGGCTTCCTAAAATAGCAACAGAGGGAAAAGTGAAAAACAACACCTTCCCAATGAAAGTAGTTAAAACTGTCATTGTAGTTGAGTGCCGGACCCTGGTGTAGCGCTGTGGGATAAAGCACTGGACCGCAAAGTTGGTTAAACCACAAGGTCAGCAGTTCAAACTCACCAGCTGCTGCTCAGAAACCCTACACGGGGAGGCTATGAGTTGGAACCAACTTGATGGCACTTAACAACAAGTGCCTTTGAGTCAATTCCGACTTAGTGACCCTGTAGCGTAGTGGTTATGAATCAGGCTGCGAGCTGCAAGGTCAGCAGTTCGAAACTACCAGCTGTTCCGTGGGAGACCGATGAGGCTTTCTGCTCCTGTAAAGATTTACAGCCTTGGAAACCCTGTACAGGGTCGCTATGAGTCGGAACTGACTCCACGGTACATAACAACAACAACATAGGATTTCTGAGGTACCTCTGAGTGGATTTGAACCATCCACCTTCCAGTCACCCAGGGACTCCTTAATATCAGATACAACACAGACAGTGGATTTGAACTGCTGACCTTGTGGTTAGCAGTTTAGTGCTGATCCTACAGCACCACACCAGGACTCCAACTTTTGCTAGTTGTTGTTTGTGTCTATGAGTCGGAACCAATAACAAGTGACAACAAAGGAAACAAAGTCACCTAGAAAGGAAAGCTTCTTGAACATTCCTGATAATAAAGGATTGCTTCATCCACAATGTTGACTACTGGCAAGATGATGATAACCACATTCACCCTAAAGGCACACGCAGCGATTTTCACTGATGAAGAAGCTGAACCCAGTTCTTCTCATACCTTCTCTGATATTCCTTCTGTTCATTCATGTGACATTGAAAACTTTTTTTAAGTGTTTTTTCCTTTTAGGAAACGGGCTGACTCATTCTCCCAAATATCTTAGCATCTTTTCCTGAGAAGTGCACAGAGGAGAAAAGGAGCCCTTGTGACTTGGTGGGATAAGTATTGGGCTGCTACGAGGTCAGTGGTTCAAATCCACCAGTTGTTCTACGGGAGAAAGGTAAGGCTTTCTCCACTAAAGAGCTACTTTCTTAGAAATGCTATGGAGCAGTTCGACTCTGTCTATGGGGACAGTGAGTCAGAATGGACACACGGCAGTGGGTGATGGAGGCTAGAGAGATAGCTTGATGAAAGTGAACTCACAGACTGTCAAAGGCTCTCACACGACTTGCTTTCTGAGTGGTCTTCCACCACCCACAAGAACACGAGTGTGTAACAGAGCCGTTTTCAGAACTGCATCATGCCCTCACACCAAGTAGAGAGAAAAACAGAGTTAGGGTCCCTTTACATTCTAATGCTTTCCAGGTGAACACTTAACTCTTAGGGACTCAGGATGTGATAAGGAGATGACCTTGACTCGTGGAACACAGCTCAGAAGGTTCCTCAAAACCTTTCATTAACAAATTCTCTTGTGCAATTTGAATGTAATCTTTGCTCATGGGATTCATTTTACACATAATAATTTTCTCTTCGTGGTAATTTGAGTTCTAAGTACCTTTAATGAGATCTTGATGAAGGCGGTGACCTCTTATCTTTGAAGAAGGGCTAATTGTATAAACGAAATGTGCTTCTAGGCTCTGTAAACATTTAGCAGCGATAACCCCATCTATTGCCATCCACCTCCTAATTTTGTAGTTAGCAACCCAACACCTAATCCAAAGCGTCACCAGGGATCCTTAGTTGTGATAACAGTGTTTGTAAACTCCACCCTCACCAACAACATAGCCAAAAAAACAGGAATGAGCTGACATTCATAACACTTGGCATATCAGTCTCACTCAGGGGGAACAGGTTACATTGAACTGAGTGGCCATTCTCCTTCTTCCCAGAGCTCTGGAGAACCCTAGTCTCAGTCCTCTAACCAGACAAGCACAGCTTGTCTAACCAGACAAGACACACCAGCTGAGCAGTAGGGTTCCAGCTTAGTATCCAAAGCAATGTCATGTAAAGAAACATCAGCATTTACACAGTGAAAGTGTGAACAGACTTAATTTTCAGAGTCCTTACACTTTTCTTGCAAGCTCGGGTGGTGCAGCGGGTTAAGCTCTGGGCTGCTAACGGAAAGGTTGACAGTTTGAACCCAGCAGCCCCTATGAGGGAAAAAGATGTGACCATCTGCTTCCGTAAAGGTGTCAGCCTTGGGAACCCTATGGGGCTGGTCTACTGTGTCCTGTACGGTCTCTTTGAGTCAGGACTGACCAGATGGCAAAGTTACATATTTATTGTTGTTGTTGTTAGCAGTCAAGTCAGTTCTGACTCATAGCAAGCCTATCTAAGATCTCCAAGGAGCAGCTGCTAGGTTTGAACCACTGACCTTTTTTGTTTTTAAAGTTCTTATTGTGAATTGAGTGATAGTTTGTTTACATGGGAGAACATTGGTTTTACACCATTGTTTCATTGCAATGACTACAATTTCCTCCGTGCATCATCATTCAACAGTATTTGCTTCTATTCTCTCTGTGTTTTTTTTTTTTTTTGGGGTTTTGTTTTGTTTGGGGTTGTATACAAAAACACTCAGGAATATATAATAATTTAAACAACCAAAGGGCACATTCTGCAAGCCTGCCTCTTGGCCGCCAGCACTCAGTCTTTCTCTCGGACCACTGATGTTTTGGTTAGCAATCCAGTGCTTATGCTATAGCACAGCACTAGGAAATCATGTATATTCACTATAGAAAAGGAGGTACTGGTGGTTCAGAGATTCACGTGAAAGACCCAGGTTTGATGGCCACTCAGTGTGCCTGAAGGCACCTACTACCAACCCATCTGTCAGAGGAAGCTCTAGTTGAATAGGTTTGAGTGGTGCCTTCACACTAAGACTATGAAGGTCTGGCATTCCACTTCTGAAAATCAGCCCCTGAAAGCCGTGATGACACTGGTCCACATAGTGTGGAACGAGACAGCATCTCGCACTGTTGGCGCATGGGGTCACCACACACACAGGGCTGAATAGCAAATCAGAACAACAAGGACACTGTTTGTTCATCAGGGTCCCCCTGGGTAGGAACAGATCTCCATTCCTTAGGGCCTGCCAACAGCCCCTCAGTCATGGCCTCACCTGCAGGGAAGTGGGTGTGGCGAGGTTCACAGCAACTTCGTTCTCTAGATCTCTGTCTCGCTGGCATCTGGAGGGTAATGCATCCTGAGTTAGTGCTGATTCTATCAGTGTGGTGTTACGTCTCGATAAATCACTCGCTTCTGTAACGTTTTCAGAATGAGCGTGACTCGGAAAACCTAAAGCAGCCCAATCTTGACAGTTGTTGGAATCCCAAGGTGTTGCATTTTCATGGTCTCGATGGAAAGCGTTGATCTCTTCTGCAGTGAATTCAGGGTGAGATTCACAAAAGGAGACGTTGTCACCGCAAACGGGACTTTGCATCAGAGGCCAGGCATCAGAAAATTCACCACCGACAGACCGGGAGAGGGACCCGAAGAATGTGGGCATCATCTCCCCCACAGAACCTGCTGTCCTGAACACAAAGATGCTATGAGTACCACGGAAGAAGAAAAACACCAGTACCAGGCTACATTTCAGCTGAAAGTTTAAATCTTTTAGATAATAGGAATTTCGGTCAGAGTGTAGCGCTTTCTGTTGTTCAAACTTGCCTCAATATGCCAACTTATTCAACTTACTTTAAAATGGATTTTTATACCCATTTCTATTAGCTATTTGCATCCTAACTACCTTGATGAATGTTCTAAAATTCTATCAGTACATGACATGTTAAATGTTAAAAACGATTCGCCTATGACAGGGGTGGAACACATCATGAACAGATGCCAAAATCACATGACTGGGAAGCAGAGTGTGGAGGCATTCGTTGCAGCAGATCTTAGCAACCTTGAGAGATGGACTTTTTTCTTGCCAATCCCCCCACTCCAAAATCCAAAATGTCACTAACGTATACTTAAAAAAATATTTTTATCACTGCAGTGATGTCCTCATAGTTCCACATGAAAAATGGGCAAATTGGAGAATGTTTAAGGAGCCTTGTTGGTGCCGCAGGATAAACACCAGATTGCTAACCAAAAGGTCGGCAGTTCAAACCCACCAGCCCCTGGACGATGCGGTAATCTGCTTCTGTAAAGATTTACAACCTTGGAAACCTTATTAGGCAGTTCGACTCTGTTCTGTAATGTCACCGTGAGTTGGAATTAACTCGAAAGCAACGAGTAATAAAAAACCTATTGCCTTTGAGTTGACTGGACTCACAGAGACCTAGAGGACAGAGCAGAACTGACCCCAGGGCTTCCGAGGGTAGGAAAAAGTATTTCCACTGGCACATGTGCAGTTATGTTATAGGGGCTAAAACAAGAACGGTACCTCTCGTGGAGCACAGCCTTGGAGTGGCCGGAGCATCCCAGGGCTGCCCGGCTCAGGATGCAGGCCTCGTCACGTGGCAGGGACGGAACCAGGTGGACAGGCCCTGGGGAAGCCAACACATGCCTGATGTGAGGAACTTTCTCCTTAACACAGCTCAACGTACTCTTCTTCAAGTTAGCCATTCTCTGTAGTGCTTTATTTGGAGGGAGAGGGTATGAGTTTAATTTTCCTCTATTTTTTTCTTATAAAGGAAGTTGAAAGGTGATGAATCTGTTCGTGGGATGGCTCTCAGATGCTACTGCTGTTGCCTCAGAGACGGCAAAATGTTGGGAGTCCAGAGGGGCCCAGCACCTGCTAGACCCGTTGGTCCACCACACACCACGTACCACACATACTCACTCACACACACACCACACACACACAAATAGCAACACAATTCTATGGAGCCATCTAGAATACAGAGCAGGGCCCAGCAACTGCTCAGACTATACATCCACCACACACCACACATACACACAACTCACTCACACATACCACGTACATACCACACATACCACAACACTCACACCACATTCTCATGTACACACACTCACATGCCACATACATTCACACACACCTGCCATGAACATTCACATACATGCTCACCTTCACTCGCACACACTATACCACATCAACAGTCACATACAACCACATTCACGCACACACATTCTCTCACACTCAAAACTCATACAAACACCCCCAGCCCCACCTACACATCCATGTTCTTCAGTGCTGGGAACATAACTTAAGGAATAAGTAGACGTGTGGGCACAGCTGTATAAATAATCCTCTCGCATGGAAACACAGTCAATATTTTGGTGACTAGCCTTCTAGATTTTCCTCTAATTCTCGCTCCCTATCTAACAGTTGGAATGGGCACAAATATGGATCTCTTCCAATCAGTCGGCCAGATAGATGTCTTCCAAATTTCTTGGCAGAGATGAGTGAATGCCTCCAGGGCTGCATCACTTTCTTGAAAGATTTCCATTTTTATTCCATCAATTCCTGGTGCCTTGTTCTTTGCCAATTCCCTCAATGCACCTTGGACTTCTTCCTTCAGTATCATTGACTCTTGATCATATGCTACCTCTTGAAATGGTTGAGCATCAACCATCTCTTTTTGGTACAGTGACTCTGTGTATTCCTTTATCTTCTCTTAATGCTTTCTGCATCATTCAATAATTTGCCCAGAGAATCCTTCAATAATGAAAGTTGAGGCTTGAATTTTTTCTTCAGTTCCCTCAGCTTGAGAAATGCTGAGCATGTCCTTCCTTTTTGATTTTCTGATTCCAGATCTCTGCACAGTTCTTTGTAATATTTGACTTTTATCTTCTCGAGCTGATCTTTGAAATTTTCTGTTCATGTCTGTCTCATATCTCCTCATTTCTTCCATTTGCTTTAGCATCTCTACGCTGGAGACCAAGTTTCAGTGTCTCTTCTGACTCCATTTTGATTTTTCCTTCTTTCTTGTCTTCTTAATGACTTTTGCTTTCTTATTGTATGATGCTCTTGATATCCCACAACTCTTCTGGTCTTCGGTGTTTAATGTATCAAAATCTGTTCTTCAGATGATCTCTAAATTCAGGTAGGATATATTCAAGGTCATATGTTGGCTCTTGTGGACTTGTTTTCACTTTCTTCAGCTTTAGTTTGAATTCGCATATGAGTAATTGATGGTCTGTTCCACAGTCTGCCCCTGGCCTTGTTTTGACTGATGATACGGAGCTTTTCCATTGTCTCTTTCTGCAGATGGAGTCAATTTGATTTCTGTGTATTCCACTTGGTGAGGTCCATGATGAAGATGAAGATCTGATGAAGATCAAGGAGTACAGCCTTCGGTATGAATTGCATCTCAATATAAAGAAAACAAAAATCCTCACCACTGGACCAATAAACAACATTCTTATCAATGAAGAAAATATTGAAGTTGTCAAAGACTTCATTCTTCTTGGATCAACTATCAACACTCATTGAAGCAGCAGCCAAGAAATCAAATGACGTATTGCATTGGGCAAATCTGTCGCACAAGACCTTCTTAAAGTGTTGAAGAGCAAAGATGTCAGCTTAAGGACTAAAGTGCACCTGACCCAAGCCATGGTATTTTCAATAACCTCATATGCATGTGAAAGCTGGACAGTGAATAAGGAAGACAATACAAGAATTGATTCTTCTGAGTTATGGTGTTGGAGGAGAATATTGAGAGTGCTGTGGGCTGCCAAAAGAACCAATAGACCCGTGTTGGAAGAAGTGTAGCCAGAGTGCTCCATGGATGCCAGGATGGCCAAGCTTCATCTCTCATACTTCAGACATATTGTCAGGAGGAACCAGTCGCTGGAGAAGTATATCGTATTTGGTAAGGTGGAGGGTCAGAGAAAAAGAAGAAGACCCCCCCAGAGAGATGGATTGGCCAAGTGGCAGCATCAATGGACTCAAGTGTGGCAACAATAGTGAGGTTGGCCCAGGATCGGGCAGTGTTTCATTCTGCTGTGCATAGGGTTGCTATGAGTCAGTACCAACTCGATGGTACTTAGGTACCAACAACAACAATGTATTTGTGCATGTTCAAATTTCCCAAGAAGAGTATCTGTTGCTTTTAGAAACAGGAAGTAATTGTCAGAGGTTAAATAGGTCGCCCACTTGTCGTCTCTCATCGAAACTGCTCTCACAACAAGGTCTTCATCATGCATCATCTAAACACAACCTTCGAGAACCCTGGAGACCGACCGCTTTTGGATCCATTCCCCACTCACACATCATCCCCACCAGGGAACCTTTCAGAATGATGGAAAAGAAAATGACAGGGCACAGGGCCATGCTGTGTAGACGGCTGATTCTAGGGCGGGTTTGTGTGTGAGGGTGAAGCCACAAGGTGGGCCTGAAACAGCCTGTTACTCCAGGAACTAAGAGAGTCCTATGAGGGGACTTCCACTGGCCAAACCACAGAGAATTTGAGCCTCAAAACCAATAAGGATAGAATTAACAACCCATCAAAAATTGAGTCCACACTAATAAAAGGAGAGGAATAAATGAGGGAAAGGGAAAAACTCTTCCTTCCCATAAAATACATGGAGTGGGAATGACAAAATGAAAGAGTCGGCGCTTATAAACCCTCACTTGTCCCTAACAGTGAATGGGTGTGAACAGTAATGGGTGAACATCTGAGGAGCAGCAGGCTGTGTGCACCATCTCCAAGTCTCCCCCAAACACCTGTATTCATGACAGTGAGAAGAACAATGTGCCCCACAGGGTCGCGATGAGTCAGAATTGAGTGGATGGCAGTAGGTTTGGAAGAACAATGCCTTACAGTGGAGAAACTACAAAGGGGCCAAAACCAAGCTGACCAGGCAAGGGCACTATCGTCCCGAGGCAACTTCCTGTTGAGGACACAGCGGGGCTTTGGCAGTATTCCCACATTTCATCGTAAGAACAACCGTCAGGCAAACCTAAACTGAAAGTCCTTCTATGAAATTACTCTTTCCAGATACCCGTCCGTGTCATGAACCAAGGAAGGCTGGAGAAGGGAAACGTGACAAGGACAAAGGATGGATTCTGACAAGCTGTGAGAAGAAGAGGGGCTTCTAGTTCAGAGCTCCTCCAGAGGCCCCTGCCTGCAGCTTACCACAGGCCTGGGCATCACAGCGGCATCCGCAGTGAGAAGACTCCTGGAGTCCTGGACGGTCAAAATAGGACAGCTCGGACCCGTTGTACTGGATGTCCTGTGATCTCAGAGACCCTGGAAGTGGGGATGGAGAACATTCTATGAGCGGGATACTTCCTTTGTAGAGATTCACTGACATCTCAGTACAAGCCCACAGTACCACCACCATTCTGGATTTTGCATTTTTAAAGAAAAAGATGGTTGCTACTCAAAGTCTTGACTATTTCTTTTGACATTGGAAATAATATAGAAATAGAGAAATCATTGAATCAGAAAATTCCTTAAGGAGCTCTGGTAGCATAGTGGTTACGAATCAGGCTGCAAACCGCCAAGGTCAGCAGTTCAAAACTACCAGCTGCTCCACGGGAGAAAGATGAGGCTTTCTGCTCCTGTAAAGATTTACAGCCTCGGAAACCCTGTACAGGGTTGTTATGAGTCGGAACCGACTCCACAGCACATAACGACAACGACAAGCTGCCAGAATGGTCCCAGACTGGTGTCAGTGGTTAATATGGTGGGCTGCTAACAGAAAGGCTTAGGTCCACCCAAAAGCACCTCAGAAGGAAGACCTGGAGATCTACTTTTGAAAAATCAGCCTTTGAACACCCTGTGGAGCTTGGCTCTACTCTGATACACACGGATGGGTTGGGTCACTGTGGGTCAGAGGAAGTGACTTGTAAATTGGTTTGTAAGGAACCCTGATAGCACAGTGGGTAAGCAGTGGGTGTCTAACTGAAAGGTCTGCGGTTCTAACCTCCAGCCACTTGATGGGAGAAAGATGAGGCTGTCTGCTCCCATAAACACTTAGTCTCAGAAGCCCGATGGAGCGGTTCTACTCTGGTGATAGGATGGCAGTGGGTTTGGAGGAACAATGGCTTACGGTGGAGAAATCTCGAGGACATCTTTGGCTTAGACAGATTTTGATGTCTATCCTGCGGCACTGGAATAGCTGACCCTAGGCAGTCTTGCCATTTCCTCAGTGCCTCGGAGACTGGGTGGAAGACAGAGCCGGTTAGTCTCACATCAGCTTACAGATTCAGTTGTGTTTGTTGTCGGACCACTAAGACACTAAAACACAAAGAGAGCCGCACTTACAGCTCGGCTTCTTCTCCATGAACTGCCTCTTGCAGTAGATGACGCAGAGGATGAGCAGAGCCAGTAGGACGGTGGCCAGGGCACTGCAGATGACCGCTGCCAGGGCTGTGTCCCGCGGACTGGAGGCCGTCGATGGGATCTTCACCAAGTTGACCCTGGTGCTGCCTGCAAACCAAAGAGGCAGTCAGTTGGAAGTCCAGTGGACGCAAAGGTCCAGCCCAATAGTGGCGGCCACCATGACCAAGGGAACAGTGCAAATACCCTTGTTCACTATAAATACGGACTGAGATAATGTGTGGGCTATCTAAGATGGATCAAGCACGCTGTCTCTTAGGGAATTTTTTATTAATATACGAGGGGGCTTCAAATGTTCCTGGATAAACTGTATTATCTTTTCATTCCATTTCCCCACAAACTCTTTGAAGCCCCCCTGCATATTGGCTGTACCACTTTTCTGTCCCCAACTCTGGGGTTCAGTGATGTCAGGTTGGTTCCGGCTCATAACGACCCTGTATAGGGTTTCTGAGGAGCAGCTGGTGAGTTTGAACTGCTGACCTTGAAGGTCAAATCGACCTTGCGGTCCAGTGCACACCTACAGCACCATACCAGGACTCCAACACTGTTGTTGTTTAGTGCCATCGAGTCAGTTCTGACTCATAACGACCCAATACAGGGTTTCCAAGGAGCAGCTGGTGGGTTTGAACCACCAACCTTGTAGTTAGCAGTCCAGTGTTTATCCTACAGTGCCACACCAGGACTCTAACACTAGGACCAAAAAAACCCGATTCTGGTATAGCGCCCCCATGGACGACATAGCAGAACGGTTCCACAGGGTTTTCTGGGCAGATCACCAGGCTGGTGAATACGGAAGTTGTTGTGCTGAAGTCACAGGTCGGAACTCTCAGAGCTGGGGATTTGCCATCTTCACCATTATGTCCCATATCCAGTACAGCAAACCCAAACACCAAACCACTCACTGCTGCCGAGCCGATTCTGACTCACTGATCCTATAAGGCAGAGTAGAAGTACCCCAAAGGTTCCGAGGCTGTAACCTTTATAGACGCAGACTGCTTCATCTTTCTCCCTTGGAGTGGCTGGTGAGTTTGAACTGCTGAACTTTAAGCAGCCAAGTGCTTTATCCACTGCAATATCTGGGCTCCTTTTAGCACACAGTGGCAGTGGTGGTGGTGTGCCGTGGAGTCGGTTCCGACTCACAGCGAACCTGTATAGGGTTTCTGAGGCTGTAAATCTTTACGGGAGCAGAAAACCTCTCATCTCCCTCCCCTGGGTGGCTGGTAGATTCGAACTGCTGACCTTGCAGTTTGCAGCCCTAGTTCTTATTTAATTTGCAGACCTCACAGCTCTGGTAGGCACTGGCTTTCTATGCCGGCTAACCTGTTGTAAGTATGGATATGTTATTACAGTGGGCTTGCTACATTTGTCAGCAGACTGAACTAAGATATGCTTTTTGGGTAACTTTAAGAAAAACATGGAGTTGGATCATTCCTGACTTTCTAGTCATTCCCCAGTTTCTGAGACAAATAAATCATTTTTGAAGGATTTCGCTATTACAACTGAAAACATCTAAATCAGGGAGAATTAATATTGTTATAAGGAGCTCTGGTAGCCCAGTGGCTACGAATTTGGCTGCTAACTTTAAGGCTGGCAGTTCCAAACTACCAGCTGTTCCGTGGGAGAAAGATGAGGTGTTCCGCTCCCGTAAAGATTTACAGCCTCGGAAACCCTGTGCAGGGTCACTATGAATCGGAACCGACTCCACGGCACATAACAATAACAACAATATTGTTGTTATAGGAGTCCTGGTGTGGCACTGTGGGTTAATGCACTGGACTTCAAAGTTGGTTTGAACCACAAGGTCGGCAGTTCAAATCCACCAGCTGCTCCTCAGAAACCCTATCCAGGGTCACTATGAGTCAAAATCGACTTGACAGCACTTAACAACAACAGCCACAACCAAGTGTCACATCGCAGGTTAAGCACCGAAGACGGTTCTCAGCAGGATGGGTGATACTGGCGCAGCTGTGCAAACACTGGCAGGGAAGAACTGAGGACGAATGTCCACGGGGTGCTCTGTGGAGGAAGTGACTTGGCAGCGGAAGCAGCATCGACTGGGTCCCCACAGTGACGCTATGGAACGCTGCCATCACACCCAAGTCTGTGAGAAAGCCTGTCAGCTTCGGAGTGAGAACAGCTTCTCAGGTTTTCCTGCAGCTAAGCCACATAGCCTTATTCCATCCAGGGCTTGAGCAGGATTTGACACCAGAAAAGGAGAAAAAGATAAGAGTTGAGGTGAACAGCTAAGTTCCTAACTATGCTGTACTATTTAAGTCCTCAGCTGATAAAAGTACCCATTGCTGTCCATTTTGACTCAGAACGACCCAACTCTGTAACACTAGGGTCCTATAGGACGGAGAGACACAGTACAACAGTTCCATAGGTTGTCAGCTTTACAGTCCTGGTGTATGACTGTAGGATAAGCACTGCCTGCTCATTGCAAGGTTGGCAGTTCAAATCCACCATCCACTCCTTGGAAACTCAGGATGAGTGGGAACTGACTATAAAACAACAGAATCTTTACAGAAGCAGACTGCCGCATCGTTCCCTGGTGGAATGGCTGCAGGGCTTGAACTGCCGACCTTTTGGAAGCAGCTTCACCACTGTGCTACCAAGGCTCCTTTTCACGGGGATGACAGTATCCTTTCATTTAAATTCTTAATGTTTAAAATGTTAACACAATGTGCGAGTAAACTTATATTTGCTTTACTAAGAGGGGGCTTCAAAAAGTTCCTGGAAACATGTCACTATCTCTTAATTCCATTTTTTTCTATAAACTTTTTGAAGTCCCTTTGAATAAAAGGAACTGTCTGCAACTTGCACTTGTGTTAAAATTCCCATTTTCAGTGGTTTTGCATTCCAATCACAGATGTCTTGTTAAAAAGTATCTTTCTGAGATACAGCACCAAACCTGTGATTACTACAACTGTCATAACAACATCACATATACAGCTAAGCACATACATTTTCTCAAAAGTAACATCTGCAGACAGACAAGAAAGACATCAAGGTTTGTCTTCTAACTCTTGAACACCTATATAAAAAAAGACGTATCTGTCTCTATACATAGCGCTGTACTCTCAGAGGATTCTCACAGGAAATGGGTCTCTGCAAACAACACTCTGGAGTCCTGGTATGGCACGGTAGGATAAACCCTGGACTGCTAACTGCAAGGTCAGTAGTTCAAACCCACCAGCCATTCCTCGGAAATGCTACACAAGGTTGCTATGAGTTAGAACTGACTCAATGGCACTTTAAAGACAGTCTTCATGGGAGTAGACCCTAGGCATTTATTTCTTCCGTGGGTTCAGACCTCCAGTCTTTAGGTTAGTACTTGAGTACCAACCATATGTTGTTATTGTTGTTAAGTGCTGTTGCGTCAGTTCAGACCCACAGCGACCCTGTCTAGGGTTTCTGAGGCTACGTACGTATATTTGTGGGCGTAGAACGTCTTGTCTTTCTCCCTTGAGGTAGCACACCACCCACACAGATATCATTACGGAAACTATGAGCAAATTGGGCTGAATACCATTCAATTTTAGAATGTTCCAGAAACCCATTCACATAAATTCCTGATAGAAATCTGTTTGTTAATTATTAAAAATTTTTATTATAAATTCAGTGAATGTTTTCAGGGAAGATCATCAGTTTTACATTCAACAAATCATATTTTGCTTTACTGCAATGATTACAATCCTCTCTATGCACCAACAGGTGACAGTATTTACCTCTATTCCCTTGTTGATTTTTCATGTACACATACCACACAGAAAATATACATTCATTTAAAAGTTCAAAGGACACATTTTGCAAGTCAGCCTCCTGCCCGCAGGCACACAGTCTTTCTCTGTCCTTGGGCCTAGAGTCCTCAGCTACTCTCTCTCCATGCCATCACCTCTGCCTCTGTTTCTGCTGCTGTGTTTCTCTGGTTAGGATCCCACACTCTACTCATGATCCTCCCTCTTGGTGGTCCTAGGGTCCTCTGTTCCTGAAATGGAAGATTACCTTCTCTTCCAAGGTTACACATGTCCTACAACTAAAATGATTTTGGACTTGAGCAATCATTTATTATTATTATTTTTTTTTTTTAAAGAGCAGGAGCATTAGGTGTTTAGCTCTGTGAAGTGGGTTGTGTTCTGTCAAAGGCTGGTTAACTGGGAAGCTGCTTTTCTGGGACTGCCTCAGCAAACGTCTCAACTACGAATGAAGAGTTTTGTTTTACTGATCTCTACAGCAGGTGTCAGGACATTGAGATGAAAGATTCTGTCTGCCACAGGCCTTCACTACATTCCCTGTCACAGTTCACTAGGTCTACTGAATGCCTGCAAGGAATTTTACTCAGATCTTATTAGGGGTCCGACAATACTTCTGAAGAATTAGGATTAGGAATACTCACATTCTTTGGAAAGTTTTAACTTTTCCGGCATGCGAAGGCAACTCTTATTCAGGTTGATTGTCAAATTCCAAATGTCATCTTTGCACACATTTTGAAAGCTTACTTTACAGTAAAAGCAAGACCTGTTTCCTTAGCTTAAATTTCACATCACGTTCCACATATTAACCCCCAAACCAAAGTCAATTCAGACTCCTGACACCATGGAGGACAAACTAGAACGGTTTCAGACCGTTTCCAAGACTGTAAACCTTTACCGAACCAGACTGCCACACCATTCTCCTACGAGCAGCTGGTGGGTTTGAACAGCTGACCTATCAGTAAGCAGCCCGATGCTTAACCACATTACATTAGCCTCCAATTACACACATTACAACTTCAGTGTTATAGTACACATGCCCTTAGGGGTTCAACTCAATTGAACAATCACACACTAGAAGACAAAGTCAAGTATTATAACGAAATGTTACCATGCAAAGATCTGGAGTTAGAAAACCAAAAAAAGGAAGAACATGCTCAACATTTCTCAAGCTGAGTGAACTGAAGGAAAAATTCAAGCCTCAGTTGCAATACTGAAGGATTCTATGGGCAAAATCACAAGGTCAGCAGTTCAAGCTCACCAGTCGCTCCTTGGAAACCCTATGGTCACTATGGGTTGCAATCGACTCGATGGCACTTCACAACAACATGGGCAAAA